GGCGCCAAGTCAAGATGAAAAAGAACCGCCAACGCCCCAGAAGAGTTTGGGAGAGAAAGGGGGGAAGGTACGAGGCCGAAATGCAAACAACATCAGCTGCTGCTGTCCTAGAGGCACACATACACATACACACACACACGCACCTGTGGCCAGCGACGCCGCCTCCTTGCCGTACAGCGCCACCTCAGCTGCACGTGGCGCGTACAGCGGTACGAGCAAACTCGCCACGTGCAAGAACTCCCCAAGTGCCTCATTGCCCAGAGAGGCAGCATTCGTCTGCGGTACAGGGGAGGAGTACGGCGGGTGTATCTAGTGCTGACACATCCCCCGTGCTGTCGTACACAGACAGCAACATCACAAGGACAACACAGAATGAGGAAAGCGCCCGGACGTGTTGACCAAGCAACGTGTGTGTTTATTTGTATGTATGTATGAATATTTGTGTTTTTGCGTCCGTACACTAACACAGAAAACGCGATGCGATGCGCGGCTGCGCACATTCTCCTCTTCCCAAAACTTTGAGACACCTATGAGACGGACAATACACACACGCATGGGAGAAGAGCACATGCACAAAGCACACCACCACCCCGTCCGGCCCGTAATCCCCCTAACTCCCCTATATAAACACACGCACATACCCCCACGTACCTTGTGGTTTGTACGGTACCCCAGCAGCTCAACCTCCTCGGCATGAAGTCCCAGATCCGCCTTGTCGTTCATATCTGTTCACGCGGGGTGGGGGGTAGGGGGCGAGGGGAGGTCTGAAGGATATGACATACCAAGCAGGGAGGGGAGAGGGGAGGGGGGGAGTGTAATCAGAACTTTACACATTTACACACACGTACACACACACGTACACACACGTACACACACACGTACACACACACACGTACACACACACGTACACACACGTACACACACGTACACACACGTACACACACGTACACACACGTACACACACACGTACACACACACGTACACACACACACGTACACACACACGTACACACACACACACACGTACACACACACGTACACACACACGTACACAGACGTACACACAC